TTCGGGCAAAAGTCTTTTTCCGAAAGACTTTTGCACAAAAGGGCCAGCGTAGACAGCAGAGATTTATTTTCTGCAAAAAATCCCCGATCGCGAAAATGGCGATTGGGGCTTTTTTTGCGGAAAAGCACATCTAGATTGGTCACGGACGCTTTTCCGCAAAAAGTGCTTTTGTGGAAAAGCGTCCTACCAATCTAGACGCGCTTTTCCGAAAATGCTTTTAACGGAAAACTTTTCCGTTAAAAGCATTTCCGGAAAATCATGCCAGTGTAGACGTAGCCGTAGGGTTTTGTGACAATAAAAGTTCAATACAGATTGTGAGGCACTTTGAAATTACCATTGTGAAGTCTATATAAATATGTGGGATGATAGATTTCAGTAGGATTTTTATACTGCCTAGCATATGTCCATTTCTGTTATGCAACTCAATAGATTCACAATCTTTTGATTTATAGACATATACAATAAGAGATGTGCATAGCACTCCTGCGTTTTGACATAAAATTTTAAAATAAACAAACCAACCTGAAAATAACAGCTAATTCCACCAACATCCCCAACAAAACTAAGTCTACACAAGACTGTCTGCTCCCAATGCAGTCCTTTAGGATACCTTCCTGTGTCCCCTTTCCGAAAAGTATGTCTTTACCACATTTTAAATCTATGTCTGTTCTCTCTGTGCTTTGTATTCCTGGCTTTATAATTGCTGGGCCTGGGTGTCTCAGACATGTGATGGTCCACTATGCAAAACTTTTGACTTGGTTCTGAGGCTTGAGCTATTCCTGTACTACAAAGTGATAGGGCTGAGACCCAAGTCTCAGGAGGCCTTGGACTCTCACCCAACTCCCAGAAGAGTTTAGATCTGAGTGCTTGCTGAGCTGAATCAGACCTGTGTAGATGCCAAGGAGGTTTGGGGTCAAACCTGAGTCTGGGTTTACAATGCAATATAGATACTACCTAAAATTCTGAGTAAAGAGATACTTTTTATAGGATTCCCATTGGCTACATCTACACTGGCATGATTTTCCGGAAATGCTTTTAACGGAAAAGTTTTCCGTTAAAAGCATTTTCGGAAAAGCGCGTCTAGATTGGTAGGACGCTTTTCCACAAAAGCACTTTTTGCGGAAAAGCGTCCGTGACCAATCTAGATGTGCTTTTCCGCAAAAAAAGCCCCAATCGCCATTTTCGCGATCGGGGATTTTTTGCAGAAAATAAATCTCTGCTGTCTACGCTGGCCCTTTTGTGCAAAAGTCTTTCGGAAAAAGACTTTTGCCCGAACGGGAGCAGCATAGTATTTCCACAAAAGCACTGACAATCTTACGTGAGATCGTCAGTGCTTTTGCGGAAATTCAAGTGGCCAGTGTAGACAGCTGGCAAGTTTTTCCACAAAAGCAGATGATTTTGCGGAAAAACTTGCCCGTCTAGACACAGCCATTGTGTCTAAAGAACTGGATTATTTTAGGTGAAGGTCCCTGATTGAAAACATTCTACCACTTTCCTGCTTTATTTTAGTTTTATTTATTGAGGGGGGGCTATAGTATGAGACCCATTATTGATTTCTATACTAGCCACATGGCAGATGGGAGAAAGATCTCCCACGTAGGAAGGCTTAGATAACATGAATCTAAGGTTGCCAACAAAATAACTAACTTAAACTTAAAGGAGGGTGAAAATGTTTATTTCATTCTCTTTAGTGGTTAGTTGGAGGATATGGTTTTAAACTGAGGTAATAAGAGGAAATATAACATGTTAGCAGTTTCCATCATTAGCCTGTCTTCTCTTGTGTTTTGACCAAGTACAATAACTTTCAGTTCCAAAAACAATAGAAATAAAAATGCCATCACTAATCTTCAAGTAAAAAACACATGGGCTTATCGCAGCAATGTCATCGCTACAGCACCAGTTCTAGTAACCAGGGTTACCTAAATGTTTCCTGTTTATAAATTTATAAATTCTTGTTCTGAGTTGCTCAGAGGTTCCTAAAATTTGAATTAATTAACACTTGCTATTTCATTATCTGTACTGAAAGGATGTACATTTTCAATTTTGGCTAAATGCATTTGTGATACTTGGTCCCAGCAGCTTATTAAAAATGTGCTACTTGAGGGAGACAGGAAAGAGACAAAAAGAAAAGTTATTTTTTTGCTAATACTATGAAATAAGAGCAGTTGTTGCTCATATTAGCATTCTGGTAGAGTAATTCTGCTACAGTACCTAACATAGCCAGTAGATGCCTGCAAACACCAGAACATAATTATATCTGAGTGCCTTTAGAAAAGGCATCTATTTTTGGCATTTGTTTCCTTATGATTCTATTTTGTGAAGTGTAAAGAAACTTTAATGCTGCACCCAATTTTTCTGACAAATGAATAGCTACTGTGTTAAAATCCTCTTTCAAAGAAAATATAGCCTTAATGATATGTTCCTCTGTGTGTAATCCTCTATTTCATTGTGCTGACACACTAAGATTAAATTACCAAAACAGTTGTTCTTCACATAATTGTAGAAATGTTTGCTTGAAATAAAATGCATCATTTTTATTGCATCATTATTTTCGATATATTGCAATTGTCCAAACAGCCTTCATTGAATATATGTGTGCTTAAAAGGGGGAAAAAAACATGATATGTGGGCTGTTCTTACGTAGATCAGTAATACAGTGAATAAATAGAAAATATATCCAGTTGGGCACACACACAGTATTTAATCTAAAAAATTATACATTGAGTATAGACACGGAATATAATTTTATTATGACAGGATCTTGGTGGAAAATTTTTGTAGCTATGATTTTTTTGTGTGTGTGGCAAGCTGACTGGATTCTTTCTAGTATAAATATGTTGCTTTCTTAGTTGTTAAATCCCAGAAGCATATTTGGGTTGTTCTAATCAGAAGGCAAATTGAACCAAGTACAGGCAGTCCCCGGGTTACGTACAAGATAGGGACTGTAGGTTTGTTTTTAAGTTGAATCTGTATGTAAGTCGGAACTGGCGTCCAGATTCAGTCGCTGCTGAAACTGACCGCCAGTTCTGACTTGCATACAGAATCAACTTAAGAACCCCAGGCGTCCCCAAGTCAGCTGCTGCTGAAACTGATCAGCAGCTGATTCCAGCAGGCAGTCCCCGGGTTACGTACAAGATAGGGACTGTAGGTTTGTTTTTAAGTTGAATCTGTATGTAAGTCGGAACTGGCGTCCAGATTCAGTCGCTGCTGAAACTGACCGCCAGTTCTGACTTGCATACAGAATCAACTTAAGAACCCCAGGCGTCCCCAAGTCAGCTGCTGCTGAAACTGATCAGCAGCTGATTCCAGGAAGCCCAGGGCAGAGCAACTGTGCCTCTGGCTTCCTGTAGTCAGCGCTGGTCAGTTTCAGCAACGGCTGACTTGGGGACGTCTGGGGCAGAGCAGCTGGGGTGCTGCTGGGTTGCTCCAGTAGCACCGCTCCTCGGCGCTACTGGACCAGCCCAGCAGCACCCCAGCTGCTCTGCCCCAGGCATCCCCAAGTCAGCCGCTGTTGAAACTGATCAGTTTCAGCAGCGGCTGAAA